TCAGTATCCCTCACAGTGTATATCTGAGTCTTGTAAAATATGAAATAGTATTGTTTTTAATTATAGTGGCAAGAACAGTAAATGTAGAGCTCAGCTTAGATATTAAGACTTCAAACTGTTCAAGGACTTTTTTCTGTTACAGCTCCACACAGATAATTAGTAACACACAAGTAAAATAAATTGTGAAAGTGTTCAAATCATTCCAAACTATCAGCAGAAACTGGGTTAAGTAAAGGCAGGCTATCCTCAGGCTGTCCTGCATAATAATATTTCTAGGAGGGAGTCCAGTTCTCCAGCCAGCAAGCATTACGTAGCTCCATTATATAGACATCTCATACTTAGTGCAGGCAAAATATATATGGAATTCCCTACAAACCATTGCTAAGAGAAAGGTAAACTATAGCAGATCTATCCTTCTCATTTTCTTGCCTTACTCCTAGAACAGAAAAGAAAAAAAAAAAAGAATGGTTTGGCCTCTGATCCACAGTGCTTTCTTACTGTCATAAGAGGCAGGACAGTAACAGCTAGTAAAGTTACTACTGACTAGTAACAGGAAAAAAATGGAAAAACAAAACAGAACAAAACAATACAATTTAACTTGACACTGTATTCAAAGAAATGGATCAGGGTGTAAATTAATTAGAAAGCAGAGTGATACTTCTTTCAGGAATATATAGGCATCATCTACTAAGGAGAAAAATGATTGAACTGGAAAACTAAGCAAGAGCAAGATCACTTTAGAAATCAGAGATTTTTGGCTGAGGTTAAAACATTCCTTTTTTTTTTTCCTTCCAAGATGTATTAACACTGTTTAGTTTAGAAGCAACAGTAGAATGGCAAGAAATTAAGATAGATATCATTTGAATTAAGGAAGTTCTGCATGGAAGATTATTATTACTGGCTAAGAAGGGGCAGATTTAGGCACAGTAAGCTCCTCAAGAAAATAATGGGAGTTCCTTTGCTTTGTACTATAATTAGGCATATGAGGTCATCTGTTACAACTCAGATGTATGGGCCTGTTATCAAGCATTAATGTTCAAACTATCAGTACCTGTTATGGTAGGGCTGATAGCATCAAATCTAATATGTGTCCTCACTGTCCAT